CCAAGCGACGAAAACCCAACCCCGATGGCAAACACCGGGGGGGGGGGCATCAGTTTGTGTCAGTAGCAGTACTTGCGCTTCGGCATTTGCAACTGACTGCGTTAGCCGAATGGACCAAACATGAGCGTTCTCGCCAACATCAATTCTTCATCCCACCGAAGTAACTTCACGAGGTGCGATATTCAGACCAGGCCACGGTACATTCCTTGCAAATCGACGCCAACAACGAAGTGCGGTCGCGAAGCATCCTTTATTTGGACGTGACTAAAAGCCGTAACTGCTTCTTTTGCTTCGTACACCTCGTACCCGTCGTGCGTCCTCCAATACTTCGTCGGCCTTGAGAGATCGCGTCACAAACACCAGCAACTCAACCAGCATGATGAACATGGCGCCCACGAGCCCGATGACTAGTCGCTGAAGTGCCGGCCGCCGGCCGCGGGTGTGCGTAAAATCGTTTCGCAGGAGGTAGAAGAGCAGGGAAGAACGAAATGAAACCCCAACGAAGGAACGGGAGGGGGGAGGGGGGAGGGGGGAGGGGAGGCACGACATCAAGAGTTTGTCTCCTTCCGCCAGGTCCATTTCCCACAACATACATGTATTGAAGTATTGGCAGCGGTGAGTAGGCCGACTGGATCGGCACGACTTGGTGCTACATTACGTGGACAGTACGCACCCTCCCCCACTTCCTCCCTCTCCTTCTTTCTCTCTCTCCCACTTGCTCACGTGCGATTTGTTGTCCCCGACGATGAATTTACTGGCCCAATAGCTGATAATAAACGTGGTGAACACCGCCACCACCATGTTGGCCCCCATGCCAACCTGAAACTTGAATGACGCCTGGATGTCCCGAACGGTCTCTCGCGGTGCCCTGGACAATAGGAGATGCCCGTGTGATTGCATTTTACCAATCATTGCCTTCCTCTCTGTGCCTGTTGCTTTGAGGGTCAATTCTTTCAATCAATCAAGTCTCGAGAGTTATCTGGACGCATGAATCGAAACGATTGGGGGTCGGTTTCGTCACAGGTATGCATACGATGCGTAACACTAGTGCAGCGTCACAAAACGTCGGGATGTTCGTGCGCCTCTGCGGTGGGCCAAGTAAAGACATCAACGTGCACCTATATCCTCTGTTACCTCTTTATTTGAGCGTAGGAAAACCTGACATTCGAGAGAAAGGCCAACAGAGTCTATGCTATGGAGATGACACCAAATACACTACAAGCCAGCCGGCGACGCCGTAACCCCGCACCTTTGTATGTTGTCAATCATCCGTTGGTACTCTTTCTGCTCTCGCAGCAGGAGTAATCGATCTCGTCTTTCCTGGTACGCACGCTTTTCCTGCTGTCCCACGAACAAAAGCGCGAAACACACGACCAAAAGGGGATTGTATTGGGACACAAGGAGGGTCCAGCTTGGCAGACACCGCCGGACACAAAGTCCGGGCGCGCAAAGGGTGCGTACGCCGCACTTGGCTGAGGTGTTTTTGGGCATGCGTGGTTCGGAACGCCCTGTACAGTTACATCCTTGTCTCCGCTCCCCGCATGGACCCCCCACAGCGCACAACCCCAGGCCATCGATCGCATGGGAACCACGTTATTCCCGGTCACGACTGCTGTCTGGACGAAATTCAACAGTCGCCGGGGTCTCGGTGAGCGCAGGGCGTCTCGGACTACTACAGCGCAGCTCCCCCCGTCACCGACGAAACCAACTGGCATGCCTGGTGAAACCGGCCTACATTATTCCTTGTGCTGCTGCCGCCGCTGCTGCTGCTGAGCGACGCATCAGTGGAATAGCTGCAGCTCATCGATATTTACCGCTGTTGCCCCAGCAAACATAACAAAGGGCCACTCTCAACTTGCGCCACCGGGCTCCTTCATGCAGATGTGCCCCTGAGAAAAATCTCCCACCATGGTTGATGATCACAGAGAATGGAGATACGCCCGAGGCATCGGCAGCAACGTACTCTGAGATGGCACGCCCGGGGACCAGGTGGCCAAAAAATTAGGTACTAGCCTTTCCACTGGAGGAAGAAACTAGGCTTGCAGGGGGCCGAAGCACCACGGGACGCTACGCCAGTTTGGCTTCGGGTGCCATACATAACTTTGACGGAGAAAAAGAAACGCGATGGCTACGGTGGAACCAGCAGGACTAGTGGCGTTCGAAACCTGACGGCCCGTTGGCCAAAAAAAAACAATTGTTTCACAAGACATGGTCGGCAGCACGCGTGCCCACTCGACCGACCCACCTCGCCGTGCTTCATTGCCGCCGACGCCGCTCCGCGCGCGTCGGGGAACACCAGCCCGCCGCCCTGCAGCAGCTCTAGCAAGCCCCCCAACGACGCGGCATGGCCGTCACCGCCCTCCCCGCTGCCGCGTGCCATCAATCTCCGGATGTGAGGCAACGCCCTCGCCAATGTTGCCGGGTTCAGCGTCACCCTCGCGCCCCCCGCGCGAGCCCCTCCCGCTGGTGCCGACTCCGCTTCTTCGGGTGTCGCCGCGCTCGCCGCGGCGGCCGCTGCTGCGGCTTGCTCTTGATCCTCGATAGTAGGTAAGCGCTCCGATATTTTCTCGCGTAAATCGGAGTCCACTCCATCGAGATCTCTGCGTGTGCACGGTTGCCGCCGCGCCGCGCGNCCGGGTTCTCACCGGACCAGGCTCTCACATCACCAAGCGCGAAGCGCCGTGAGATATTCGGCGAGTCGCATGAAGGGTGCGCTGCATCCTGCTAAGGGTGTTCGGCATCTTGTGCTTACTTCCCTGCGTACGGATGACAGCTGCGTATGACTTAATTTAATTTCTGGTGCCTTCACTTCC